ATATATAGTCACATTGTCAGAACATTTCCACGTATGATGTGTTAACAGGTCAGGACATAAAAGACATAATAGAATCTTAATTGACACCCAGAAGTAATATACATCATGTGGATTCAATTCTTCACTGTGTGGTGTTAGCCTGTGTGTCTTTATGCAAGTTAAATATGGACAACATCAGTCTTTAGGTTTCCCACTCGTGACAAACAGATAGTTATTTACTGTTGACTGTGCCTTGCCCGTGCGGTTTAAACGGTCCCCAGTCAATAAAAAGTGGCCCTGGAAGCTACCATATGTACACCGAGTTAAACCGAGTTAACCCCACTGTACCTGACGCAAGAGCAGTGCCGTACCGTGCCGTACCGTGCCGTGCCGTTAGCGGTCATTGAGGTTACCTAACACAGGCGTTAGCAGTTTGACTCCACAGATGTGTTCAGTGTGGACGCAGACACTCACCAGTCTCCTGTCTATCTCCGCCTCACTCCTAACGCTGCTTTTAGGACTGTATTCAGCATATCGCATCATGTCTCCTCCGTCCGCGGTCACTCGCCCGGAGCTCGCCATGTTGCCTCAGACACGGATGTCAATGCTTCGTGATAACCCGCAACGCATCCGGTTGTACCTTTCAAAATAAAACCCCACAGGTTGGTATCGAACCCATAGCTTGCTGCAGCAAGGACCTCTCCCCTCCTCTCTCCTCCTCTCTCCTCTAAAACATAATTGGAAGACATGGGGACTTTTAGCCAAAAAAAGTCAGAACCGAGGTGAACAGATTACACGAATTGTGATAATAACATTAAATGAATAAATATTTACCTTTTATAAGAGAGGGCACACATTACCCTCCCACCTCCTCCCCTCATTCCTCCCACCTCCTCTCGCCTCTCCTCTAAAACACAAATGGAAGACAGAAGGAGTTATAGCTAAAAACGTCAGGAACAATGTGACAACGGATAATTTATCTATCACAATACGGAGTGTAAATACAACATTGAATTACTTTTTTTCATGAGAGGGCTCACATTACCCCCCTCCCTCCCTCCTCCTCTCTCCTCTCCTCTCTCCTCCCACGTCCTCTCCTCTCTCCTTTCTCCTCTCCTCTCATCTAAAACATCAATGGAAGACAAGGGGAGTTATGGTTACAAGCATCAGAAACTAGGTAAACAGATTATTTATCCATCACAATACAAAGTGTGATAATAACATTAGATGAACTGATATTTACCTTTTTACATGAGAAAGCTCACATCAACCGCCTCCCTCCTCCCACCTCCTCTCCTCTCCTCTAAAATGGAAGACAAGGGGAATCTTAGTTAAAAACATCAGAAACCAGGTGAACAGATTACTGCACAAACTGTGATAATAACATTCAATTATTCAATATTTACCTTTTTACATGAGTGGGCTCACATTGCCCTCCCACCTACTCTCCTCTCTCCTCCCACCTCCTCTTCTCTCTATTCTCCTTTCCTCTCCTCTTAAAGACAAATAGAAGACAGAGAGGGTTGTAGGTAAAAACTTTACATGTCCGGTATAATACAGAGGTATAATCCATTACTGATTGATTAAATCTGAGAACATGAAATTCATACCTTTTACATGAAGATTTATACTTACTTCTTCTTTTCTTCCCATTTGTTCTGTCTCTTTTCTTGTTTTTACAACTTAATGCAACTTCTTCTATTACTTAAACAATAACCTTTTCCCCCCATTTTGAACCCCTGTAATGGGGTGCACCTTTTTTTAATACCCTGTTGCTAATACTTCGAGTGCTAAAGTTTCTACCACTACAATTAATTTCTACCCAGTGTCGACCCCCTGTACTGAGGTCCCTGTTATTACAGACTTTTCTTGGCCTAGGGTGGGCGTCGACAGACATGTGAACCCCCTTGACATGTTGTGGCCATCCTTTTCTTTTTCTGCACAGAGGAACTTCACTGGGAGGGTGTAACACGTTGGAGGTTAACGCTATCTCCCCCAGATCACACTCCTCTGTGCAGACACCCTGCCTGAGTCATGGCGCAGCAACAAGGACACTTGGACAATTTGATTTAAATAAAGTCAATTCAATTAATTAAAATAATTCAAAGCATGTCAAATACATTCAATTAAAATAAATCTTATCAATTAAATTCAACCACACTAATTCCAATAAATGTAAAATATTCAATAAAATTATTCAAAATCAGTCAAATCAATTCAAAGAAATTCAATCAATTCAAATCCCAATCGAAATCAATTCACCGGTAATTCAAAGAAAATCTCCAAGTAACTGCTCAAAGATAATTCAAGTAATTCAAAAGAAATTGCAAGTCAATCTGCGAAAGAAATTCAATAATTCTCAAAGAAACCTCAAGAAATTCAAATTCAACATCAAACTCCAACCTTTGTCTGGTTCAATCAAGCACCAGATCAAACAACTGAATGCAACATTTCAAGTCCACGTGAACAAGACAGCATCTTACTGACGCGTCCTGCTTTAT